TGACATTAAAACGCCGTTCTGAATGTTAGAGGCAGATTTTTGTTAAAAAACAACAATTTTGTTGTTTTTTTAACATTAAAACACCGTTTTGAACGTTGGAGGCGGATTTTTGTTAAAAAAACAACAAAATTGTTGTTTTTTTAACATTAAAACGCCGTTCTGAATGTCAGAGGTGGATTTTTGTTAAAAAAATAACAAAATTGTTGTTTTTTAACATTAAAACACTGTTCCGAACATCAGAGGCAGATTTTTGTTAAAAAAACAACAATTTTGTTGTTTTTTTAACATTAAAACGCCGTTCCGAACGTCAGTGGTGGATTTTTGTTAAAAAAACAACAATTTTGTTGTTTTTTAACATTAAAACGCCATTCTGAACGTCAGAAGCGGATTTTTGTTAAAAAAACAACAATTTTGTTGTTTTTTTTTGACATTAAAACGCCGTTCTGAATGTCAGAGGCAGATTTTTGTTAAAAAACAACAATTTTGTTGTTTTTTTAACATTAAAACGCCGTTTTGAACGTTGGAGGCGGATTTTTGTTAAAAAAATTTTTTGATCTATCGGATAAGGATACGGATTCAGATTTGTCAGATTCGAATAAAGATTTCGATTCAGATTTGTCAGATTCGGATCGAATCGGATTTAGATTTGTCGAATTCAGATCAAATCGGATTCAGATTTTTCAGATTCGGATTGAATCAGATTTTGCCCAAATCCGATCTGATCTGATCTGTGTGGAACACTATGTGCACCGGATGCGTGGCTTCAAATGATCCGCATGACTGAAATTTTAAAATAATCACCGGAACATGGCTCACGACCATCGGGTTGGTCCAAATTTTCAAACCTGTTACCGGGTGACTGGGTCCGATTTTCAGTTGCGTAAAAAAATAAAAAATTTTCTTTTTTAAAAGTGAGATTGAAATGCTTCTTGTTGGCGAGCCTCAAGGCATCGCTCAGGTAACAATCGCTAGTATAATAGTTTATAATACACATTATTGCTTATAATAGATTATTGCTATTAATAAATTTGACTAACAAAATTTTAATATATTTGTTAAATCAATAAAATTTGATAAATTAAAATTCGCATTAATTAATTTAACTATATAATAAAGATTATAATAAAAATTCTCATCACCAAGATTGAATATAATAAAAAATAGAAAAATTTTTTTATTTTATTATTGTTGCATACAAATTTGAATTGCGAATTTCAATAAATCGTTTAATACCTTCTAAACTGACTTTATTATTACACAAAATGTCTGACCAATCCACCCTTTGAAAAAGCAAATTCAGAGAAAACGAATTGATTGATCATCGTGAGATACGTTGTATGAAAGATCGAGAAATAAACATATAAAAAAGTCAGCTGAAATTCTAGAATAGTGTGAGGCATGTCTAATACGAGACTGTGAATGAAAGCGTAATAAAAAAACAAGGAGTATTTTAGAAAATGTTGATGGATACCTCAATCAGCAGGATGAAAACTCATTTTAGTTTGTAGCAATTTAATCTATATTAATCATGAATATGAGATAAATTTTATTTGGCTGGTCACTAAACAAAAAAACAATAGCCTTATCTCAAGCATTTTAATGACACAATAAGTATCTTCAATCATATTACAATCATTTTTGTCTGAAGGTATAATACACTAGTTGAGTAATCTGAACCTATATATCATCTTCAATCCAGTCCAAAGCATAAAAGCTAAGTTCCATTCCTATATTGTTCAGTACATATGAATTTGATTTAATTAAAATCCATGTCAAATAAAGTATCTGTTTAGGACTTACCAACTTGAAACCAACCATAAACAATTATGTCTGTACGTTGTTTATCCAAGATGTGTTTGTATTTCTTTAGTAAACTATTTGGGTTAGTACGTACAAAAATCAGGTTTTGATCATATGATTTATATAGTCACGCAGCATGATTTTCGTACGTACTAACCCATTTAGACTATCTCGTATTGTAACCATTAGCTTTACTTTATCAAGGAATCATTTTTTGCGATGAGCTGAAGGTTCAAATGGCCCTAGTCCTCCCGAAATCTTCCTATAAATAACTTCGAACTTATTTGGTGTCTTGATTAGAACAAGCTTTATATTAACTTTTCTTCCAATTTGGGCCTTTTGGAAGTAATTTTGTTTTCATTTTGAGCATCGTTCGTTACCAGAGCTTGTACCTCTCCCTTACATATTAAAGAGTTGTTTATTATCAAATATTTTTTTTAAGTCCCACTAAAAAATCAATATAAATAAAGAGACTTATCAAACATTTTTTATATAATCGGATGTAAAAATGCCTCGAAATAAAGGAAACGATAAGCTTATTTTGAGTTCTTCTTCCGTTAATGTTCCCTGAAAGGAACACATATTATTTTTTATGAATTGTATGTTGGCATCTAACTTTTCAAATTTTTTATCATTAATTCGTTAACAGTTATTGTCAAAGTATTGGTGAATAATTTCTTCAGCAGGTGTATCAATCCATCCAATACAATTTGAGAATTCTTGATTCAACTCCTTCATATCGATTTTTGTAAAATGTTTACATGTGCAGATATCATTTGTCAAATCGAGAATACCCCAATACGCAGGTCTATATGATAACAAGAGAATAAAATATATAGTATTAATAATTTAATTATGTAAAAATCATGACCTAAGAACAATCATGCTAAACTTACGTTGAGACCTTATGGCACTTGGGAATTTTGGACTGATAGAAAGAGAGGAACTTGCTCACGATTGCAAGTTCCAATTTGCCTTGCTTGGGCTATAAAAGTCAAGGGCTAACTTTGCAAAAGGCTGTAATGGAACTTGAGAAAAAAGAGTTTGTTGCTAGACTTCTTTTCGTGGTAATTTCACAGGTTTGTGCTCTCCAAAATATTCTTTTTAAACCATTTTCATTTGAAAGACTGTAACATATCAAGACTTGTAAGAGACTACAAGAAAGATTGGCCAAAGAAAGACATTTAATTTCTATAATACTGCAAGTTGGGACAGATAATGATTAGATAACAAGATGAAAATAAAATAGTTTTTTAATTCTAATACAACTTTCGTTAAAATTCCCAAATTAATTTTTTTTCTATCAGTTTTATCTAAATGCTAATCTAATAACGATATTTGTGGCTTATAGATTATTTTGATTAGAATTGTATCACTGCAGATCATATAAATTTTAAACACTTTGGATGTTCTAATGGTTTCCGTTACCTAGTTTATAAAAGTAAATCAGAAGAGAATTTATAGTAAATAAGCAGGCAAATTTGCCTGCAAAACCCTACGATTTAAGGGATAATACTTTTAATTTAAGATTTAGTTAATCTTAAAATTGCATTAATACTAAATGCTTAATTTTTCTATTTTAATTGTCTCAAATAATTTGTAAATTAATTTAGCTTTCCAAGTTTTTTTTATACAAATTTATCATTTTAAATAAGATTTTTTTTAACTTTAATATATTTGACTCATAACCTATTAACCATTAAATTTATCATCATTTATCATGATTTTTTTGATCCTATCTTCATATTCTTTACATATTGATACTATCTTAAGATTTTTCTTGATTGGCTTTTATGAAAATTGAATTGCTTTTTAGTATAATCAAGTTAATTTTATAATATTAATTTCTTTATTACCTCATCATCATTATCATCATTAGTTTTGATAATCTCCCCTTTGTTTAATTGATCAATTCTTACAACTAATACTAAATCTTTTTTGTTAAAATTTTTGGAAATGATTCTCTTATGATTGATTTTACATATCCTCAGTTGTTTGATTAGTCAAATTTTTAGCATCATCAATGATATCTGACTCTTTTTCCATTGAACTGCAAGATAATCTTCATCCAATAATGCAAAAGTGCTGATTTGTCTTCATCCAAAGTAAAGGGAACCTTTTTTTCTGAAGTCTTGATTTTTAGATACTATGTGATACTCATCAGAAGCAAGTACAAGTTCCTTTTTAATATGTTCAATAGGTATTATACAGGTAGTGATATGGAATTTTGGAGAATGCTGAACGATATATTTTTCAAGACATATATGTACCCACAAAATAATGCTGTAAATGTTTTAAGTGGTAAGACTATAATTTGCTTTATCACCAAATTAAGCTTCGGAATATTTTCATTGGATATTTTAGAAATGTTTCTTAGAAAATTTAATGAAAGTGCTTTTAGTTGAAAACGTATGAATTTCTGAAAGACTTGCTAAAGGTTCGCTAAAGAAGATTTCACCTTTTCTCCATACATAAATATTTTTCACATATCAATACAAAAACAAAATTAGTATTTAGCTCGAAGTTGACCTCCTAAAGTTTATCTCAAAATTGAGCTTCTCGGAATAATGATCACGAATGAAGTTAGGATCATTGATGACAAGATAAGTTATCCCTTAAAGCTACGATAGGAGACAATTAAATAATTTATATTTGCTGATATTCAAAAAAAAAAGTTTTATTATTTTCCCAGTATACCATTATTCTGGAAAAATCTGCAGAAATATGCAAGATTTAAGGTGTCGCAATTATCAAAATGTAGGATAATTTTTGCGTCACCAACATTTGGTTTTTAACTTATGTGCCACATTAAGAATATAAAGTCTCATGACCGAGCGTTTTGTTTTTTAAAAAATCGATTAAAATTCTGAATACATTCGATATTAAAGGAAATGAACCCCTTGTCAAAAGTTTATTACAAAATTAGTGACAACTACAACAATGTGATAAATGGTTTATAAATTATTTGAAACGATCAGAATTTAACTATGAACAATTGATGTGTAACCATTAACATCTTTATCAAAAGGAAATGGTAATAATAATAATAATAATAGTAGTAGTAGCAGTAGTCGTCATAAAAATAATTAATTAATCGGTTTTTTTTTTAAAAAAAAATAATAATAATAATAATAAATTCTATGAACGATAAAAAGTCCAAATAATAATAAAAAAATTTAACCTGTTTTATGATGAACTCGTCATTTTTTTGATTTTTTTTCCTCCGTTAATTCAATATTATCTTCAGGAACCTACAACGAAGTAAAAATCAATTAATAAATAAATAAATAAACAAGAACATAACCTAATTTCATAATGAAATAATATTCATACATCTGGCCACGTTTCTAATATATAATCAAATAAATCATCCGAAACATCTCCTTGTACAACAATCTCATCATTTCCTTGATTATTTTTTACAACAGATGATCCACATGCAAATTTTGATGCAAAACTCTTTGCAGCTTTCTTCAATTCAATATCTAAATAAAATTGAATTCATTTTTAATTAAAATCATTCGAATTCTTAAAAAAAAAAAAAATATATAAAAATGTTTGATATCAACCAAAGTTCTGTAAACCGTAAACACTTGTTACACTTTTTCGTTTGTTTCGTGCAATTCGTGTAATAACTACTTTGGAGGACTAAAAAAAAAAAAAGGTTACATCATTTATCAACACAACATATATGATGTTTTACGTATAAAAATCATACCAACTTCTTCTTCAATTCACGCTCTATTTTTGCCGCCTCTAAATGATACCATCCACATTCGATTCGTTAAAATTATTAAAAATTCATCACAGCAACTTAGTTTAAAACACGCAATAAAATTACAATATTATACCTTTAGCCTTCTTTTTATCTTCCGCATCATTAACCGGTTTATCTTTTAACGATACCTTAGCGACTCTATTTTCAAGAGACGCTGTATGAATTTAAATTTTAAGCTCAGTTTAAATTACAAATTTTCGCTCTTTTAAAATACGTGAATAAAAGATAGATTATTACTTTGCGAATATAATTTTTCGAATAATTCTGGAACATTCTGTTGTAGCCATTCTTTACATTTATTAACTGTCAGTCCATGTTCGCAATACTGCTTGGGTAAGTTATGGTATTTTGATTAAATGTTATATTAGAAACAAATAATGATTTAAAAGTAAAAAGCTCATACTTCTGGCGGTAAAGAACAGACTACAAGGAAGAAAAGTATTATTAAATTTCTTAAAATACTATTATACGAAAGACTAGTATCACAATTACCTCCACAGTATATCACTTGTTTTGCTGATATTGCCGGAGTTGCCGAGGTTGTTGGTATTGGTGTTTCTTGTACTTCTGGTTCTGGCTCCATTTTTCTTAAATAAAATTTTAATTAAAAACAGATCAACTTTTTTTTTAAGACAATTTATGATTTCACGTGACCGAATTTTTTAAGTAAGCTATTGTAAGCTATGATAAAAGAACGCAGAACTTGGCACCCACGTGAATTCTCAAGTGTGACAAAAAATTCTTGGCTAGTCCAATATGCGCAGTATTTTTTATAAATAAATATGCTAAATTTGTATTTGATGATACATTTCAACTTCCACTTTTTGAATTCAAATTTATATAATTAAAACAAATCGACTTACACTTCACTAAATAAAATGAACCGTCTCTTTGGAACCTCAAAAAAGACACCCAAACCATCATTACCCGATGCTATTGCTGCTGTATGTATATTTATTTTACTCGCTTTTTTCGAGGTTATTGAATTCTAATTATCATTTGAAAATGCATTAAATCAGACGGATACGCGAGTGGATGCAGTTGAGGTGAAAATAAAAAAACTTGACGCGGAATTAGCTAAATATAGAGATCAAATGAAAAAAATGCGTGATGGGCCAGGAAAGGTAATTCGGATTTTTTATACTTTTAAATTTTCTGGTGAAATTATCGCGTAGTTAACCTTATCATTTCGAATTTTTAGAATGCAATTAAAAATAAAGCATTACGAGTTCTAAAACAAAAGAAATTGTAAGTAGGAAAAAAATATATATGTATTCTCATTAGATTCCATGTAATATCTTGTACCTTCATATTTAGGTATGAAACTCAAAGGGAACAACTTCAACAACAATCTTTCAACATGGAACAAGCATGTTTCACCAACGAAAATTTACGTAATGTAATTTCCACAATTGATGCAATGCAAATCGCTAACAAAGAAATGCAAAAACAATATAAAAAGATAGATATAAATAAGATTGAGGTAAGTCATAATATTTATTAGTATTTCTTATATTTTAATAACGCTTTCTAACATTTTAATTAAGAGCATTCAAGATGATATGGAAGATTTGTTTGAACAAGCTAATGACATACAAGAATCACTTGGAAGAACATATGGAGTCCCTGAGGAGATCGATGATGAGGAATTGGAAGCAGGTTTGAAAAAGAAAACTTTTTGTTTTATTTCTTTTATGTTTACACTTCCTTAATATGATTTTCTTAATTAGAATTGGATGCTTTGGGAGAGGAATTAAATTTTGAGGAAGAGGAAGAGCCATCATATTTACAAGAAACACCTGAACCAAACGCTGGACTTAATGAATTGGAAGGAACAGAGGTATTTAATTCTTTAAAAAAAATAATAAATCGCTTGAAATTTTTATATTTTGTTGAGATTAAATTATTTAATAAAATTTAGAGCACTAAAGTAGATGAACTGGGAACACCAGAAAATCCAATTAGAAATGTTGCATAGAATTTTTTAATTAATGAATTTTATTTTTCTTTGGTTTTGTATAATACTGTTGTTAAAGTTTTACCCAAACCGTTTGAAATTATTATATTCCTTTCTATAGTGATTATGCATTTTTTTTTATAAATTAATAAAATATTTAAATTAATATTATTACATGACATAATTAACAAATATATATTATACTTTTTCCTTCTAAAAGCCGAAATGGTGAGGGAAAGTAATTTAAATATCTAACAATCCATTATCTAATCTATACTTAACTAAATCTGCGATAGTGATTAGTTTTAAGCCGTGTTCATTAGCAAATGCGCGACAATCATCACGTCGTGCCATAAGTCCATCATCCCTTACCAATTCACAGATAACCCCGACAGGTTGCAAATTTGCCAATTTGCACAGATCTACAATTAAAACTCGTCGTTAAAGGAGATGAATAAATAAGAATCCGATTCATTTAAAAGGATATATGTACCTATTGATGCTTCCGTGTGTCCGACTCTGTTTAAAACTCCACCTTGAGTATATCTTAATGGAAATATATGACCGGGTCTATTAAAATCATTTGGATCTGTTATAGAAGGATCGGCAAGTGAACGCGCCGTTAATGCGCGATCGTGTGCTGATATTCCTGTTGTTGTGTCTACAATATTTCATTTGATCATTAAAGACATGAAAAGAAGTTTATTAAATATATCAGTAGGAACGGGAACAAACTTACTATGCTTGTAATCTACAGATATCGTGTAAGCAGTTTTCATTCTTTCTGTATTATCTGGAACCATCAGAGGTAAATTAAGCTGATTCGATCGTTCTGGTATAATTGGTACACATATCAACCCACTTATCGTTATATAGATTAAAAAAAAAGATCTATTAGGAACGAGAATCTTCAAATGGTATTATTGTACATTAAATCAAATCTTACCTCGTATATCGAACCATGAATGCCATTTGCTCGGTAGTAACTTTTTCAGCCGCAATAATCAAATCGCCTTCATTTTCTCGTTCTTCATTATCTACAACCAAAACAAATTTTCCTTGTGCTAATAAAATAAAGTAATGGTGAATGAAAAATTTTAATGAACATGAATATTTACAAGTTGTATCAACATACCGAAATCAGCGAGTGCTTCTGGAATGGAATCGAATCGAACTTTATTATTTGACTTTTCTTTCAGTTGTTTTGAAATGGTGGTCTTCGCTGTTCCATTACCATTACTATATGATAAAAAGCATTCTTTAACCATGTTTATAATATTCAATTATTTAATGAGAAAAAAAGAACGAGATATTAAATACTTAAAAAAAAAAAAATATCGGATCTTATGATCTTTTTGATTACTGATTTACATTATGTAATAATAATTGATTATTAAATGCTTATTGTCGGAAATGAAATATATTCTATATTAGGAATTTGATTATTAATTGTGAATATCATTGTAATACAAGAATGATAAAAAACAATGGTCAGATAAGTCATATAAGTATAACGCTCGCGCGGGTAATTAATTGTATTTTTTTTAAGTTGATTAAAACTCCGATTGGAAATATATAGTCGAAGTTCTCTATATTATATAACGAATATTTTTTATGTATAACGAAAAACTGTAACGAATGAAGAGAGATATATATATAATTCGAGGTCAAATCGTCCCATGGACTTCTGAATGGTATATTAGCACATTTTGAAATTAACATAAAAGTTCCATTATCAATTTATTTTACAATAAGCTTGCAGTTGATTTTTTTAGGCAAATAAATAATTCTAGAGATTCGGATGATTAAATTCGGATCCATTATACCATATCCGGTTGATATTTCATCCTAAATTTGAAACCATTCCGAATATAAAATTAAGCTTTAATAAAGGATTGTATAATCATTTTACTTTTCAAGCCCGCTTAACTCATCCACAAATATCAGATAATCTAAAGCGAAGATTTCTACTTGCAATTATCCTAATTTCTCTTCAATTTATTTAACCTACATCGCATTATTGGCTGTTAAACAATAAATGTGTAACATAACTCGGAATTGCCTATGTAAAAATATGTGATTAGCGAACATTATAATGGAAATTTCAAAGCAGCATTTAATAGCGATCAAAAATGCCGATCTTCAATAGCTTTAATATAAAGAAAATGCAATGTTGGATAATAAAAAGAATTTGAATTATGAAAATATATGTTCTAAAAGTATATACCAATCACATGTTTCAGCCAAAATATACCGTATAATAAAAAAAAAAAGGTTATGTTATTCCGTAAATATAGAAAATGGTAAAGGGAAATTTGCAAATAAATGAAAGTTTATTTCAAATTTACGATGGAAATCGTTTCGCAGAATATCATTAATAAATCCTAGTCATATTAATATAAAAACGTTATTTCATTGAAATAAATTTTTATGAATCAATTGAATCAATAATGAAGCTTGGGTTGATTGAAAAAAAAATCGTAACTTGAAAAAAAAAGAATTTTGGAAATAAAAAAAGCAATTCTTCAGCGTATGATTTTAATAATATTAGTAAATTCTTAATTGATACAAATGATCTGTGGAGTATCATTGCAAAGGTTCCATATGTTAGGACAATACAGATTGATTGCTATTATAATTTTTTTTATTTAATCTTATAATATTAATTAGTGCCATTTGATATCATTTATAATATATATTAAAGCAACATGATTTTATAAATTTTGTATGGATATCTAAAGGTTTAGAAACAGTCAGTTTTAACGGTTTGATATTTTTACAAAGCAATATCGTTTTTCACAAATTGTTGCGAAAATGTCGAAGAAACCAGAACAATTAATTAATTTATATACGCATAGAATTGCAACTGCAGATAAATCATGTTTTATATGTAATAAATTTACAACTTCTGTTTTAAGAACTGACAATGGACTAGATTGGTTTTATACCTGTGAAAGGTTTTGTCTTTATGTCTTTAAGAATATGAAACTTTCTTTATGTTCCTGAGATAAATTAACTAATTATTTATTTTTGTAGTCATTTAAGTGACAGAGGATTTGCTTCTCCTGTTCCGGAACCCGAACCCGAACCAACTATTGATATTCAACCAACAAAAATAAAAGGATCGCAAAAAGAAGAAAGTGCAAATTCTAAATCGGATTCTGAAGAAGTGAAAGATAAATCAAAAGAATCAACAAAAGAAGGAGAAGAAAAGGAAAAAGAAGAAAAAAAGGAGGAAAAGCAACAGGTTGCAACTCCTAAACCTTTAATTAAACCACAACCACCCAAACCAAGTAAACCTAAACAGTATGTGTTACATAGAAGTATTTTTTATTTGAGACAAGACAATTTAAATAAAAAACGTCAAAAAGCGGAAGCTCAGAATCTTTTAAGTAAATTACCGAGTGTGCCTAAAACTTTGCAGTAGTCTTAAAAACGGTTTTTATTTTTATTTTTTTTTTCGTTTAATAATAATTATAATTTCACAAAATAAATAAAGATTAATTTAAATTTTACGATTCTATTACATTTCTCTCATACTTATCGTATATATGTTGTTTCATATCATTATCTGAATCGGGTCCGAAATGCCCTAAAGGTAAAAATAAAGAAGGCTTTCAATTTGGAGTGAAAGATTTGAAAAAAAAATTTCTAGAAAGGATTGTTATTACCATCATTAAAACATGATTGACAATACAAGTCTCCATCACAGTCTTTACATCTTATAGTAGCATCCTCGTTACAAATACCTAGAAGGTTTAAACATTAATAAATTAAAACATTGATCTTCTTTACTCATCTATAATACTTACAACACCAAGTATCAGGACCTTCTTCATTCAATCCAAAGTCTGACAAATCAATTGGTTTAGGCGGAGGCCCTAAATTATCAACATTAATAATCTTTTCATCATTCTTGGTTGCCTCTTGGGATTGTGCATTGGAAATATTAAATTCTTTCAATTGATTATATCTTCTTTCTATCTCACTATAATCCTCTTTTAAGTTTTCTTCATTTTTCGATTCTAATTCTACTTCATCTTGTATTTCTTTAATCAAATTTTCCGTTTCCGTATCAACATTTTCATCAAAGTCTACATTTGATAATTCCTTGTCTGCTAAGACATTTTCAATCTAGCATAAATTTAAATTAAATTATTTAGGAATTTAGATATTTTATTTAATTGATAAATATAACTTACTTCTTCATCAAATTTAGGTAATTCATATTGGACATTGGCTAAATTTGATGTCAAGGAAACGTTCGAAGTAACGTTTGAGGAATTATTATTTGAAGTAGCAATGGTTGAATTAGTCAAGTCTATTATCGAATTAATTGTTTTCGTTATATTCTTTACGGGAGGAGGAGAATTGTGATTTGGTTTATGACCAAATAATTTTGTAAATCTTTCAACCAATTCTTCTTCACTTATGAATAAATGATAATTATTACTTGATTGATTTAAAAATAACGTAAAAACGTTTCATGCTTACGTAGATTCATTATTATGTGATGAATCATTTGATCGCTTTCTGAACATTCCATACATTTTTATCTTGGTCCAACAATTAGGGGTTTTGAAATTATGGATTTATGAGAACTTTTTGTAATGTGAATATGGAAACAATCAGCTGATTTGAATTTTTTACTAACCAATTACAGGTTGATCCGGGAGACTGATAACTCATTGGTTCACACCACCCCACTTTTTTTTTTTTTTTAAAGATGAGTTCACCAAAAATGAAAGAATTTCAAAAGTCGCTTCACGATGTTATCGTTAAGCAAATTTCACGTCACAATTCACCTCCAGTATCACAAAAATGTATTTCAACTCTTTTACAAATAATGAACAATCTGTTAAAAGAACCTTATAATGAAAAATTTCGTAAATTACGTGAAAAGAATCATACATTTAATTCAAATGTTTTGCAAATTATTGGTGGCAGAGAATTTTTAATTAAAGTTGGATTTAAATCAAATATTGTAGATTTTGAAAAATACTTTATACTAGAATTAAAAGGTCCTGATAAAAGTGGAGAGAAAATTAGCGATGAATTATTTTTATCTAGACAATTGGAAAGGCTGGAAATTGCTCAGCAATTACTTGACGATTATTTGAATAAAGTTACCGAACAAGCTGAAACTGTAAAGAGAATGCAAGAAAGAGAAAAGAAGGCAGAGGAATTACAAAAAGCTGCAATTTTACAAAGCATTGAAGAAGATAAAGAACGTAGGCATAAACAACAAGAACAACTTAAATTTCATCGACAGCTTGAAAAAGAAAGACAAGAACGTGCAGAACAAAATACGAATCTCGAACCACAGTCTGAGGATTATGAAGGTGCTAATTCATTCGAGCAGCAGATAATTAATCAATCTGAGCCAAAACCATTTTATCGTCCCTATCACCACTCACATTTTGACAAAGAAAAATAATAATACAATCGTGCAATAAGTAATAAATCTCCTCGTATTACATTTCATTTATTTATCTTTTATAAATAATTTTCCTTTTTTTTCCCTTTACCTGCAAAAATATTTGCAATATCTCGTAAGGAAAAATTTTCTTATATACATTATATAATAAGACATTTATCATTCCTCTGTCATAATTTTAATAAATTCCTTCATGCTTACTTTTTTTTTTTAATATTAAAAACTGGTCGAAGATAATATAATAAAAGGTTTGTATTTTTTTTTTTTAAAAAAAAAAAATTTCAAAATTTCAAATTGACAAACGTAAAAGGATACTTTCTCCATCATCATCTAAATCGAATTCATCAATCATTGCTTGTAATTCATCTTCATCCAAATTTTCTCCCAATTCCTTTGCAACTCGCTTAAGATTCTGAAGTGATATTTTTCCAGTATTATCATCATCAAAAAGTTGAAAGGCCCTATGAATTTCTTCCATAGGTGATCTATTCACAATTCGTTCCGCCACTAAGTAACGAAAAAGTTCATTAAGATTAATTTCCCTAAAGTACAATTTTGACAAGTAAAACGAAATTTCTTCAAAATACTTACTAACTTTATAGAAATCCTCATATGAAATCAGCCCTTCATCACTTTTATCATATTGTCGGATAATCTTTAGTAATTCGGGTTTTTTCTCATCAAAACCAAGAGCTTTCATAGCAGTTTTTAATTCTTGAAAAGATAAAGCTCCCTTTTTATCATTATCGAATAAATCAAAAACCTCTTTAATTTCAACCCTTTGTTCTTCTGATAAGTGAGGAAGTGGAGATGTCTTTAGAGCTGTTGTCGTTGTATGTGCTGGAGATGGAAGTTGCGTTTTCTCTGGTATTAACAACGTATCACTACTAAGAAAATTCGTCGTGATGGTCGCATTTGTTGTGTAATTATTACTATCATTTTTGTTACTAGTAATCTTTTTCGTTTTCTCGCTAGTATGCGAAGGACTAATATATTATATTTTTAACTCATTTTTGAGATAAAATGAGCAAATAGAGTTATAAAAACGTATTTTTATTACCTTCCGTTCATTCTCTTTCTTTTTATTCAAATAATGAAAACTTTTTTATGGCGTTAATAGTTAAAATGGTTAAATGTATTAAAGTACATATTGCACTTTATTGATAATATATATGATACCTTTCGATTTTCGATTAGTGGCTTAGCATTTTCCTAAAATCTTCATGCAGGATTGTGATACATTTAATTCATAAAGGGGAAGAATCGTCATCACTAATTCTGGTATATAATGCTGGGCAGGAATTAAAGGGTTTTACTATGTATAAGCGTTCGTTCTTCTTTTATCCTTTAAGGGGGATAATACATAACATAAAAATAATATACACTAATTACACTTGGACTTTATTATTAATTAACCTAGTAGAATTAACCATGGAAATGCAAGAAAAACTGTAATTAACCTAAAAACTTTCACAATTTAATAATCAGCCGCCCAACCATTTTTGTTTAGATAATCTTCAATTGCCTCTTTAAGCGCCAAGTTAGGATACAAATCGTTCTCCCTACATTCGCGTCTTGATAACGGATCAAAATATCCGATTTTTTTGAAATGTTCTTTCAAATGAATTCTCTCATAAGTAATCCCTGATGGCGTAATTACTGGATCATGCATAACATTGAAAGATATTTTATCCAGAAAATATTCAGGAATTTCTCCTTGACGTTGGTTTTCTTCCGCTTGAGCAAAAACTTGTTCGACTTGAGAAAGTCGTTCATCGTGTGCAAGGTTAACTTGATTTATTTTATCTTGAATTTCCATTGAATGTGAGTTAACAAATTTCGAAAATGTGGAACCAATTGAATTTTTACTTTGAGTAACCTTTTGAAGTTGTTTCTCTCTTTCTGCATTAATTAATCCTTTAACATATTTCAATGATTCAGATTCACTCTTTTGTCGTCGTTGATTCTCAAATTCCCATTTTTTCTTTCTTGCTTTCAATAAAGCTTGAATAATATCTCCAGAAAATGCTACTTTATCAATGATTGCATAATCATATGCCTTCTGTAAATGTGAAATTGCTAAATCAAAATCTGCTTTCTCTGTTAAGGCTTGCCCTATCATATAATGTCCTTTAACTGAATTCGCATCAATGCTGATAGCATTCTCACAATCTAATATCACATTATCGTACTTTTTTAACTTCAAGTAACATAATGCGCGGTTTGTATAATAAACTGCATTCCTTGGATTCTGAGCAATAGCTGCCGAATATTCCCTTACAGCACTATCATAATCCTTTTTACTGAATTGAGTGTTTCCTTTTGTCTTGTGAGATTCAGCTCGTTCAACGGAATTCGACATTTGTAAGTGAAAAAAATAAAAGTAACTTATGAAGTTAGCTCAAAAAAAAAAAAGGAAAAAAGAGCTTGTAATATGTTTTTGAAATATATGTTTTTGGTTGATTTATAAGACTGTGGCGGAGTTACTTTTCATTTTATATCATCGGACACAACTAATTTGTTTATTTATATTTTTGTTTAAAAATATAGTCAGACAACTTGCCTCGTGTAGCAGGTATCGTACATGAAGTAACATCCGTGTGTGGAATAAGCAGAATAAGCAGAATATAAAATTATCATCATATGTTATATTAGACCGAGTCACTCGCGCAGTAGTAAAATTTTTTATATCCCAAATTTTTTTTTGTTCTTATTTAACCCTTAAATTCTTTTGACTCTTTGACACTTGGACTCCCATTAACTAAACATCACTTCATATCCCTTAGCGATGCAGAAGCTTGCCTTACGCATCTTGAGTCGTTTCAGCCGAAAAACTTTCATTCGTAGTGCTTGGAAAAATTTAAATAGTTTAAGTGAGCACGATGAATTGGCCGAGGCATTAGATACGTTAATTTCCATGTCCCACGAAGGTACTTGTCATTTAATTTACTCGGCATTAGAATTTCCGACTTTGAGATTTATTAATTTACTACTTTCATTTTGATATATTTATCACTTACCTGTATAATGCTGTTATATTAAACCAGAGAATGAATTCATTGAACTCATTACCGTAATTGTTGATGTTTTATCGGAGGCTCCAATGGCTTCTGCTTTTTTGTGTCACATTATCGGTAATAAGAATTTAAAGCTTCCTTTTTTTTGAGAGTTTAATTCAAACTGGCCACTTAAAATGATTTTAATTAATGTTATATAGATAGTGCTGCTTTGCCTTCAAAAGAAACCTCTCATAAAATTACGACAAGGCTACTACAGAAACTTAAGCCTGGTTAGTTGATTAATTGATTTGCTTTGATCCATTGATATATTTAAACTTGTTTATTAAGAATTATTCATAATAATATTAAGTAGGTCTATTATATTACCTTAAATCTTTAGGTGGTATATATCGAACGAAACCAAAGAAGCGTACACGTGTAAATGCAGCTATAATTTGGAGTGTTCTTGCTGAAAAATTAGCAGGTCAAGAGTTGTGACTTTGTTATATTTAAAAGAATGAAATTACTGACGTGTTAAATCATTTTATAGGCGAAATCAGTTTATCCTTGTTCTCAGATAATGTATGTACTACACTGCTGGATTATCTCCATTATGACATTGATGCAAGCGTGCGTCTTTTCGCTTTGATCGCTCTTGAAAAATTTGGTATGACCGGACAAAATAAAGAAAAGATTCTTAATTCGGGATGGGATATTCATGGGATTTTGCAAGGAATAGCAAAAGAACTGCATTCGGATGAGGGATCAAGTGATGATGTTAATCGTCGAAGACAATTAAAGTTCTGTGTAGAATGGGCCCTGAAGAATACTTTTGGTATGTTTATCTTACCTAAAAAAATTTTTAAAAAAAAATGAATTGCTTTTTACAATCTAATTAACCCTATTTAAAACTTTTTTAATTAAGATTCAGGCAATGTATGATTAGTTTTCGATTTACATAATATATAATTTTTTTTTTATATTCTTCTTTACATGATATATAAATTTGGTAGGAAGACATAAATGATTTGGATGATGATTTTGTAAATTCCAACCATATTAATGTTATGTTGAACCCATTGGATGCTACGTCTCATTGGAAAATATCACGGAATGGTTTAGAGGTACATACTAAAAAATTAATTAATTATTTGTATCCTTATTTTTATATTATTAATTTACGTCTTTGCAGATAAGGAATGATAATTCCACATTCGAATCCATACGTGCAACGATGGGTGTAACTAAAGGAAAATGGTTTTATGAAGTAGTATTATTGACTAACGGAATTATGCAGGTATGTATGAATTGATAATTAGTCGATTAATCAGGAATTTAAATTCAAAATCTTCTGATTAGATTGGATATGCAACCAAACGTTGTATGTTTGGACCTGAAGAAGGTACGGGTGTTGGAGACGATCCGGTTAGTTCGTATTTTTAGTTTTTAATATGGATTTTCTTGCTTTGCCAATTTATTAATTTGAATTTGAATTAATAGCATGGATTTGCATTCGACGGATGTAGGAACGTTCTATGGGTTAGTTTTATGATATATAAATTTATTACATACGTAAAGATAATTTAACCTGTTTATTATTTGTTTCTTTAGGCGAATGGCGTATCTGTATCATACGGTGGTAGTAATGAATCATGGAAACCCGGTAATTTTCGAACTTGAATCATCAAATATAAGAGTTATTCATCTAATAAATTGTATCATGAATAATGTCACAGGTGATGTGGTCGGAGTTTTTATGGATGTCACCCTTGGTTGCGTTCGGTTCTATCTAAATGGGAAAGATATAGGTGAAGTTCATCCTCTCAACCTTACTCAATTTCGAAAGTTGGCAGAGAGCAGTTTACACCCAGCATTGTCTTTTACTTCCTATCAACAAGCCATAATTAATTTTGGAGCTGAAAAATTCCGGTAATTTTCGTTAAATCAAAATAAAATCTCAATGTATGATTTTTAACCTTTTGACATATTATTATAGATATCCTCCACCAAAATCACTCGATTATCAAGTTCTCAACAGTCAAGGAAAATTATCATCAGAACTTCGCAACTCAATACAAAAGAGGGTTTGGAGAGCATCACGTTATCGCTCAATGACTGTAAGTCCATATTGGAGACAACAGCTAGAATCCTCGGAAGATGACTTTGATACTCAATGTTCAATTTGTTTTGCAATGCCGCCTACTATTATATTGGGACCTTGTAATCATGACGGGTTTTGCTCTGATTGTGCAAAAATGATGCATTCGTGGTATGTATTCGATTTCAATCATTTAATGTTCAAATATATTGATGATTACTGTTTATTCTCGTAAATAGTCCGTTATGTAGAACACCAGTTTCATATCGAAGGCCAATGAATGCACATACCGCTAGTTTACCATCTACCCCTACAAAACTTTCCATTGCGTCAACGTCAGCATCATCACTTTCCGCACCTTCAACAGCTATCGTTTTACCTCCAACCCCACCTCATTCACGTCCTGCATCATCTATTACCTCGTGGGAACCTGACATTTTACGTGGACTTGAACCATAATGTTTTTATTTGTTGATAATTTTTTTTTCTAAAAAAAAAAATAATTTGTTGATTCTATATAATTTGGTTGAGCGTTGTAAATATATTTTTCTTTTTTTTTCTTTTCTGAATTTTTCTTCTGACTACGAACCAGATATTAATTTTTATTTTGCTGTTTATTCCCCCCCCCCCCCCCCCCAACCACCACCACTAACACCGTATTTTATTACTTTTATCCCCTCTTCATGCAATTTTTTCATCGCCAAGATCAAAAAACTAAAAAAAAATCAAAAAAAGAGTAAAATCAAAAAATAAAATAAAACAGTGAGTTAATTAATTATTCATGAGATTATTATTTGTTTTATTATACATACGAACTTTTTGCTCATCTATCTGTAGCCTTTCATTATGTACTTTGCTTTGTATATATACCGTAGAAAATTCTATTCATCAAAGATTTATTTTAACATTATTAAAAAAATTATTAATTAATTTATTTCCAAATATTTATTACAATAATAAACTTATGTTTAATA